CATCTTCTCAGTTCTCTAGAGCAGAGGTCCCCAACCATGGGCCTCCAGATGTTCTTGGACTTCAACTCCCAAAAATCCTGGCCAGCAGAGGTGGTGGTGAAGGCTTCTGGGAGTTGTAGCCCAAGAACATCTGGAGGCCCAAGGTTGGGGAACACTGCTCTAGAGAACTTCTCAGTTCTCTGGGGCTCTGTAGAGAATGTGAAATAATGACTAGGCTCCTAATAATCTGCTGCTACCGAATATAGGCAGAAACAAGCAAACAAATAAAAATGGGGAAAAAAAGGGGGGGGAGAATTGCTCTTTTTGCCCACTTGTTCCTTTTGCAAAATTTCTGAAATGAAAAAAAAAATGCAAATGTTAAAAATATAAATAAGATGTTACATGAATACTGAAATATATTATACCTTCATTCCTTGGACATATAATTATTGCACTTCTATTTAAAGGTTCAAGTTAAATGCAATATTTTACATTAAATTTGTGAAATATTGCAATCTGTTTGTTTTTTTACAAAAGAACAGAAAAAATAAAATATTCTTCCATACTGTGTGCAATTTTTCTTTAGTCCTTTCCTATAGGGGATATCTGTTAATAAGGATCTTTAATGGGGAGGTTTTTTTTTTTGTTTATTGTGCCCATTTTATTTATTTTAGGCATGCCAGTGGTGAGGACAACATTTGAAAACAGTTTCTCATGATCTAGTTAATGGACTGCTCTGCTTTAAAGGCGCAAGGGTGGAAATGATGGCCAGCTGGTCCCAGAGATGATCTGAAAAACACTTAGAAGACTGGTATTTAAAAAAAAATACAGCATATAAATTGGCAAGGTAAAATGGCAGAAGCATCTGTCCAGTACATAGAACACAACTTGGGAGGTGAAACCAGTGGAGCATGTTCTTCTGTTTTCTGAATTATATGCTAGAGTTATTCTAAAGAATTATTATTTTTCCACTGGCCATTCTAACAGGCCTACTTGCTCAATTCTATTTCAGATGTTTGCTCTTGGAGAGAAAAAAACCCAAATCCACCAGTTTCACTAATATTTAAAGTGACGATAACAGTCAGAAGATGAACAGTTAATGCTGCTAGATTTGTGGGTGAAAGTGTGGGGGTGTCTCATTTTAGCAGTCCTATATTTGGTGACTAATCTTGTACATTTCTATAATTCCTTGTACTTGATCGAAATTGTTGATGCTGAAAAAGATATAGTTGTACATAAGAGGAAACAAAGGGCATTTTCCTGTTGTACCTCAGGGGAAGTGGGCAAGCTTATTTCTCAAAATAGAAAAAGAAAAGAATATAGGAAATCATGACTCATTACACTTTCCCTGGAAACTACTTGCAAATGAAACTAGACAAATTGTGTGAACACAGCAGAAATTTAGTGTCTTTTACTGAAACTAACAACATGTATACTGTTCTATTCTGCTCCAGCCATCGTATTAGTCACTCATTCCCAAAGCAGAAATACAGCTGGGAGAATACTCCTGTTAATTATTAAATGAGGAATTGACGTCTCCCATCTGAGCCTATGAGAGTCTATTTCTTCATGTCGGGACTGTGCGTGTCACCAGGGGGGAAATGAGAAGAACTGGGTGAGGAATCTTAATAAGGATCTGGCATGGGATGGGTCATGGCTGGGAGATTCGTTCTGATTTCGAGAAAAGAAGGAAAGGGCAGGCAGTATCCTAGCGACACCATGATGAGCAGGACTGAAAATATTCAGCCTCTTGTGTGCCTCCCTTATTATTTTTATCAGGAGAAAGAGGTTATTAAGGATGTACTCTGCTCATCCACCTCAGACCCAATCTGTGAATAAAATAGGCACACAGATGGACACTTAACCCACCTTGTGTCCTTTCAGAGACATTCTGAACCACTCCTGGTCCTTGTCCAAGACGACATTTAAATGTTTCTGGATCGATGGAAAAACAAACCCTTTTCCTCTGAATGGGGAAACACATGGCAAAGTCAAGTCACGGCAAAAGACACAACTGCACCAGGCTCCAGATGTTTGAGGGTGGGTGGTACCTGTGATACAGGGAGAATAGAAAGGCATCTAGCTGGGGCAGTTGGAGTCTGAAGAATTGGATGCTCTGTTTTGATTTTCCACTTCAGTTTTCCAGGCACTGAAAGAAAGCTGTGATCTCACAGTGAGGGCTTTTAAAGTTATGACATGCACATTTTTCTTCCCTTCTTTCTTAAAAAGCAGTGTAGGGACTCTGCTCTTCCTTCAAATCAACTGAAATCTCATTTTTTGCTTAGTCTTTCTCTGTCTTCCCTTCTGTTTTCCATCTGCACAACAAATAGGTTTATTCAAGGAAAAACATGGAAGTTTCAGTTCAAAGAAAAGAGCTGTTGTGAGTGTTCGCAAAATATTAAAGTTTCTTTCTCCCTCTTGAAGAGTTAAGGTTCGCCATGGCAAATAAACTGCTGGTCATTCTCACATTGGACACAGAAGAAAGCAGGAGAAGCAAATTAAAAAGGACACAACCAGACCTTTATTGAGAAAGTTACACTCAAGATACAAAAAGGCTAAATTATAAATGTAACTAGATAAGCGTGTGTTCCAGGGAAGGCAGAGACAGCATGTAATTTCTTTAAAAGGTGAAGATAAGATGAAGGTCAGAAAGAGATGGAAGACTGGCAGGTTTTCCTAAGAAATATCAGTCTAGCAATAGATGAAGGAAAGAAGTAGAAATTAAAAGGTGGCAGACAAGCCTTTCTGAGCCGCTACTCACAAATCTTCCTCTTGGTTATTTGGGCTGAGTAAGTGCAAAGTGGCAAAGCTTGTAAGATACCAGGCTAACATGATCATATTTTCCTTCTCCATTGGCACCAGTTCAGCATTTTCCTTAATTTTTCATTCTCTTCCCTGCTTGTAATCACATTGCATCATTTAAAGATGTTAGTATTTTTTTAATCTCGCAAATGCCAGATTTAAAATGAAAGATCTCTGTGTTTGGTGGGGGTGTTGCTCTGCTCCACAAGAGCCTCTAACCTCTTTACTCATCCACTGGCCACCCTCAAAATGGATATATTTATGTGAAGACAGTGCACAGCCCTAATGTACAATGAGTCCACAAAAAAAGTGGCACTGAAGACAGAGTCTACAGACAGGAAATATGGAGTCTGAGGAAAACAGGAATTACTTTGAGAATGTCGAAGCCAAGATCAAGTTCTCAAAACAACCTAATGTAGCAGGTGGTGGACGGAATATATAATCAGGTAAACTGCAGCCCAAAATGAAATTCCTCAAGCATAAAGTCCCAGAGATCTCTTAATTTAAAAAAAAAAACCACACCTAAGTACAGAGTCTTGACATTAACCCTTAAATTTTTCTCATTTTCCTTGCCCAGTTGACTTCAATGATGGCTGCTTTCTTAAGGCTAACAGGAGTTCAGCTTGATGGAAGGGAAGATCCTAGAGACAAGATCTCACTCCCACATCCTGCTACTGTATGGTCTCATCATCTGAATATCAAAGTCCTATGCCACAGAAAATCCACAGAATTTTCACAGAGCTGTTTAGTGTCACCGATCGTTTGGCCTGGATCTGAATATCCTATGCCACAGAAAATCCACAGAATTTTCACAGCTGTTTAGTGTCACCGATCATTTGGCCTGCTGATGCCTTTCTAGGCATCTTTCAGGACCCTGGACAGGTCATGCACACACATCTCAAGTGTGAGAAAGTGAAATCTTATACAAGCTCCACCAAAGCCTGTAAAAGTATGGGCCAAGGGAACTGGAAGGACTTCCTGCAGTACCACACTCCTATGGTATTAATCGATTAATTAAAAACTAGCATTAAAAAGGGGGAATGAAGACAAAGCATTTTGAAAAACAAACATTAAAACAGCTATTGTAAGAGATAGTAAAAAAAACCCAAGTTGTTACAGATTAAATCTGCTGCTTAAAAGTCATTTAAAACCAGGTAGATGTATTTCTCAATAGATAAAAAAAATACACATTCATTTTTGAATAAGTCTGGGCAATCAAGAATCAATGGCTACTACAGAGAAGGCGAGGAGCAGAGTGGCCTTTTGAAGTATGGCTCCATCTATTGCTATGCAGGGCCCCCCCATGCGTTTTCATGCCATGAATTAGATTGATGGGTTTAGAGGCCAAATCTTTGTCCAACAATTCTCTTGTGTCACAATAGACCAATAAATGGCTTGAAACGATCAAAGCTGAGGAAAAGTCCAAACCAGAAATGACCAGATACCCACTTCCAGTTTTCACTATGGGAGAGAGTTTTGGAGGGACCTAGGAAACCTAGGTACGTGGTGGCACTGCAGGTTAAACTGCAGAAGCCTCTGTGCTGCAAGGTCAGAAGACCTGCAGCCGTAAGATCGAATCCACGAGACGGAGGGAGCTCCCGTTGCTTGTCCCAGCTCCTGCCAACCGAGCCATTCGAAAGCATGTAAAAATGCGAGTAGATAAAATAGGTACCACAGCGATGGGAAGGAAATGTCGTTCCATGTCTAGTCACTCTGGCCACGTGTCCACGGAAGATTGTCTTCGGACAAACACTAGCTCTATGGGTTGGAAACGGAGATGAGCACCGCCCCCAAGAGTTGGACACAACTGGACAAATTGTCAAGGGGAAACTCCACGCCAAGCCAACACAAAACACACTGTGGTTCTGCAAGCCTTGAGAATGTGAATATTTCATGGTTGTGCTGATTTCTCTTTGTTTTGCGAGAGCTCCATAACTACCTAAAGATGCAAAAATGGCTTTCAGGGGCATGAGGATCCAAGATTAGACCCTTGGGAACTGGAATGTTCACTTAGGAAGTACATTACATTGTGAATTTAAAACTTCTCCTCCTTCACTGCCACCAGCTTGTTTTGTCTTATTTTTGATGCCCGTGCACATGATTGATATACAGTGGCAAGAATAAAGTTCTCCAATTAAAAACATTGATGCAATAATTCTGCATTTGCAAGTCCTGATTGAAGATGTACATGCAGATCTTTGCTGACACATTTTGGATACTTACGAAATCTGTTTCAGAAATGCCTCAGGACCTGTGTGCACACAATCTTGCTGCTCTCCAAAACGTGCTAGCTGCAGAGTGCTCACAGCTCTGATCTCCAGGACCATGACTGCTAAAGATGATTCCCCGCCAGCTGTGTGAGGAGTATCTCTTATTGCTGATCCGCTCCATTGGTCAGAGATGGATGCTCGGCCAGCTCCTGCTTCTTCGTCCTTTTCTCCAGCTTCTCTGAAGCACCACGAAGTGCAGTGTGAGGCAAAGGCTGGAAGTCTGAGGCACCTGCTGAACCAGCATTGAGCAAACTTTTGTCGGATAGTGGAGGAGGAAAAGTAGAAGACAACAGGATCCAAAATGGTGTTGAAGGAGCTGAGGATAAATGCATAGGTTCTCCAGGAAGGGCTCTGGTTCTGAATGAAGCCCACGATGTGGGAGATGTTCAAGGGGCCAAAGCAGACCGCGAAATTGAGCAAAGTGGCGAAAGCCAATCCCACAGCCCGTTGCTTCCTTTGGGGCTGGATATTGGGCAGGGAGGCGAGAATCCGAATGACGCTGATGTAGCAGAAGAGAGTGATGGCAAATGGGAGCAAGAAGAGGACAAGGCTGAGTTCTAGTCGGACAGGGAGAAGGACGCGGAGCTGATTGGGGGAGAAGTCCTCATAACATGTGGTGTTGTCAAGTTGGAGCAGAGTCCTGTTGTGGTATTCCACAATGAAGACGACACTGCAGTGAGAATATGCCAGCAACCAGAAGAGTAAACTAACTGCTATTGCATAGGTTAACCTCCTCTCCAGCCTGTACTTGACAGGATAGGCGACACACAGGTAGCGCTCCACGCTCACCGCCGTGAGGAACAGGGTGCTGAGGTAGATGCTGCTATAGAAACAGAAGTTTGTCAGTGGGCAAAGGTAGACAGGGAGGGACCAAACCATGTCCGAAGCAGTCTCTGCCATCTTAAAGGGCAGAAAAAGCAGAAACAGAAGGTCAGACACAGTCAGGTTGATTAAGAGGATGTCCATGGAGGAAGGCGTCTCAAATACTTTCCTCAAGAAAGCGTAACAGGCCAGGAGGTTGGAAGGGAATCCGACCACGAAGGTAAAAATGTAGGCAACAAGGAGAATAGCTTTTATGGCCATCCTTTTACCTCCTGGAAGAGAAAGGATGAAAAAATGTCAGTGTCCCCATCAGAGGTGACCTATGAAATATGTTGTTTTCCCCCAAAGGAAAATTAATAGCAATGAGATTAACATGCTGTCAAATCAATTCTGATTTATGGTGATTTTTTCTAGGTAGAGAGCACTCAAGCAGGTGCTCCAAATCTGTGAAATATCATCAGAAGTATGGAGGTAAGCCAACAGTGTATTCATTCATTCATTCATTCATTCATTCATTCATTCATTCATTCATTCATTCATTCATTCATTCATTCATTCATTCATTCATTCGTTAAATTTATATCCCAGCCATTTAGACAATGTCTACTGCTTAACTAAGAGGGATATGTGTTAATGATGAATTCCCTGCAGGAAATCTGAAAAGGGCAGAAATATACAAGAAAGCCTATACTACCTCAGTCTGTCAGATATGATAGAGCCAGTTTAGGCGAACAGTGCCCTGGCTGTAGAAAGGATGAGTCTTTCACTCCCTCCCTCCCTTCCTCCTGCCCCTAAGCCCCACTGTCCCATTGCCACCCCACCCAAAAACTTCGCAGCTCCTGGCAGATGTTTCCAAACAGTCACAAAAGCCATCGACAGCTTGCCTAAGGATTCCAGTTACCTGAGTTCCAAGTCCATGGAATGGCTGATCAGCTCAGAAGTGCCTTCAAGATATTCATTCGTCTAACCAGCTCGTCAGTGATCATTTTGCAATTGTCTTAATTTAGTAGGGAAAATGCTCTTTTAGACACTGTATAACAGGGCAATTATTTCTACTTGTGGAGTGAGGCAATCTTGCATTTCAGTCCAGTCATTTGTTATCTGTATTTTGAGTTTACTTTTTTGTTTTGTTTTCTGTAGCTTTATTTATGGTCTGGTGCTTTCTGTTTTTATCTGATTGGGTAGTTTATGGTTTTATTGGGAATTGCCCAGAGTAGTGCTACAGCATTAGTGTGAACAGTATATTACATACATACATACATACATACATACATCCATTCATACATACATACATACAGTGGTGCCTCACTTTACGATTGCCCCACATTACGACAAAACTGCATTACGATGGTGTGAATGGGTTTTTTTCGCTTTGTGATGATCGGTTCCCTGCTTCGGGAACCGATTCTTCGCAAAATGCCGATTTCCCTCCAGCTGATTGGCGCCTTCAAAATGGCCGCCGAGTAATTAAAATGGCTCCCCGCTGTTTTCTGGGATGGATTCCTTGAAAGACAGCCACTGAAAAATGGGCGCCCTATGGACAGTGAGTTTCCAGCCCATTGGAACGCATGAATGCGTTTAAATGGACTTTTTATTTTCGCATTACGATGTTTTTGTTCTACAGCGATTTTGCTGGAATGAATTAACATCATAATGCAAGGCACCACTGTACGTTCGTACGTACGTACATACAGACATACATATATACATACATACATACATGGGCCCCAAATAATTTTAGAACTGCAGAGCTGGAAGGGACTCTGTGGATCACTGCGTTCAGCCTCTCTCAAGGAGACCCAGTGGGGAATCGAACTCCCAACTCTGGTTCCACAGCCAGATATCTAAAGCATGGAGCTATCCAGCAGTTCTGTACGATATCCAGCTAATGGGATGGGTGGAAGAGCATAAGCCCTCTCCAAAAAGGAATGTCCAGTCTAAGCTCCATTGCGGATAACTCCTCAAACACAGCAGCTATCATCCTGGGCCTTCTTTCTTGGTTTATGAATGTCATCCTGCCTCCTGTAAGGTCACCCGGTCGAGAGAAGCTTTCCCTGAAGTTTGGCAACACTGGCTTGGGAATTTGTGCGCATGTGGTGTGCCACCCTTCAAATTTTTTTCCATAGAGATTATGTTTGCCGCTACAGTGGTCAGCGCGCTTTCTTCCGATATGCTTTTTTTTTGGGGGGGGGGGATGTTTAGCCACTCTTCCAGAATTGTTCAGAAGGAAATGTCTCTACATGACTCATTCTTAGAGGGGGTGGTGTAATGGCAGGGTTTCCGAAACCCATCGTGCTATCGGCAACATCCTTGCCATGCTTTGGAAATACCAGCTCTACTTGGAAGAAAGAAGAAGAAAAAAAGAGGACAGGGATGGAGGGCGCCATGGGGAAAGTTAGGAAATCTACCCCCCATAAGACACGCCCAGAAGAGGTGGCAACCTGATAGCCCTTAGATTGACCTGCTTCTTTCCCTTGTTAGCAGGAACAATGGAAGAAACCTTTTTCAAAAATGAGATAAGAAAGAGAGAGAGAGAGAGAGAGAGAGAGAGAGAAAGAAAGAAAGAAAGAAAGAAAGAAAGAAAGAAAGAAAGAAAGAAAGAGGGACTCATTGCACCTTGGCTCCTTTTGGGGAGAAAGGTGGGATACAAATATTTTAAATAAATCAATAGTAACTAAAATTTCCAAGTCTGATTCTGCTGGAGGAGCAGAAGGAGAGTTTGAGATCTGGTGATTACCGTCCCTTCTCCAAATCCTGCAAGCTGTTTCTTTCAAGCCTATTTGACTGCACTTACAGTAATATAATTCTTCAGCTTGCCATGTGTAATTCATTGACCTTTTTTCTAAATAAAAAAGAATACCAATTCTAATAACATTTTTTTAAAAAATCTTACTTACGCTCTAGTTGAAGATCCACATTTCCTGATGCTCAAGGGAGAAAGGAAATACTGCTTTTTAGAGATGATTCAACAGCCACAAGTCTTAACCTTGCCACAGAAAGCATATTCACCTGGGTTCGGGGAAAAAAAACAGAAGCATCTGTTCGCAACAAGGAAGATCTTTCTATGGTGTTTTCGAGGAAGTGGGTGAATCAATAGACTCCTTAAAATAGAAAAAAAGCAAATACAAAGTGGTCAGCAGCCTCTCTAGAACCACTTGCAGTGTATTAGATTAAATCTCAGTAACGCTGGAAAGTTTTGATTGAAACCAGGTTTCAGTTAATGCCTGGCCTATTTCATAGCCATTTTACAAAACACAAAAGTCTATATTTTTGTCTCATCCCCTGCTCCAAAAAATTTTAAGCTGTTAGGTATTGCATAAAAATAAAAGTCCAAAAGTAGCTGATGTTTAATATACCACACAAAGTATAGCCACATGATTTATTTGTCATTCCCAATTGCTTTTATTTCACTTAATATTAAGTAAAATAGTGGTCGTAAGACCAGATGGGCAGGGTATAAATAAAATAAATAAATTAATATAAATAAATAAATTTTGATGATTAATATAAGAAGAAAATTGAGACTAGGAACAGCAGCGGTGAAGAAATTAGAAAAGAACATCAGGTGTAAGGATGTATCAATTAAAAAATTGGCTTCCCTCCCACCAATTTTTGATTGTACTTTCTTGCTTTTGTTGTTTATTCTCCCATCTTGATCATATTATTATTGTAGATTTTATTTGTTGTTTTATTTGTTTGTGTACAATATGTTGTGAGCCGCCCTGAGTAGACTCATGTCTAGAAGGGTGGGATATAAATCCAATAATAAACAAACAAACAAACAAACAAACAAACAAACAAACAAACAAACATCACTGGAGGCCAAGGCCAAGATCATCCACTTTCTTATATATCAGATCATCTTATATATCTTTGCCGATACCCTGGAAAGAAAGAAAGAGACGAACAAGTGGGTCCTAGATCACATCAAGCCTGAACTTTTACCTGGAGAGAAAAAAATGTTGAAACTGAGGTTGTCCTACTTTTTGCACATCATGAAAAGGCAGGATTCGCTGGAAAAGGTTGGGAATACTGGGAAAGGGGGAAGGCAGCCGGAAAAGAGGGAAGACCAAATACGAGATGGACTGGCTCCCTAAGTAAGCCACAGGCTTGAGTTTACAAGAGCTTAGTAGGGCACTTGAGGGCAGGGCATCCTGGAGAAGGCTCATGTCTAAGGTTATTATAAGTTGGAGGTGGCTTTATGGCAACAATATTCATTCCAGTACTACGTGAACAACCTGTCTGTTGTCTGGATAGATTTTTTTTTAACCCTTCACATTTTAAAATTACAAAAGGCAACCCATCCATTAACATCTAATTTTATCATAAAAGAGTTTTTTTTTTCAAATGGTTGTGATGACGCAAGGTCATGATGTTCTACAAGCGAAACTAATGAAGAAACGAACAAAAGCTCTGTAATAGGTTCTTCTGAATCCTCTCGCTTGCAATCTTTCGGGGAAGGAAAGAGAAGTTGTGAAACCTGGCTTCAAATGAATCAAGTTTTCTTAGAAAATCACAGAGGTCTGTGGTTCAGGCACTTAAGAATTCCGTTCCCTGAACCCAGAAAAGCTGTCTTCCATTCCTCTGGAACGGATGTGAATGGGGTATTTTTTTTTTTCATGTGTGGACATGACTTACGGTGACCCTTTTCAGGGTTTTCTGGGTATGCAGTCCTCAGATATGCTTTACCCTTCCATTACACTAGGGGGAGCCCTGGGACTGTGCAGCTATTTCTGGGTATGCAGTCCTCAGACATGCTTTACCCTTCCATTACTCTAGGGGGAGCCCTGGGACTGTGCAGCTGGCCCAAGGCCACCCAGGCTGGCTCTCTTTGCAGGAGGCACTGTGGGGAATCGAACCGCCAATCTCTGGCACTGCAACCAGATCCCTAAATCATGTGATGGTTTAGCTTACAGTTGACTTCTCAGCTCCTTGGATAAAGGAAGCAGTGTTGCAGCAGGAGAGTAGGTAGGATGCTTTCAGGCTGATTTTTTTTTTTAAATTAGAATGTCTATTTCACAGATGTTTGTGAGAGATCCAGTTGTGACTATCTTCAGCTTTCATCTCTCCTGTATTTCCCATTTGTCTGCTTCTGTCTTTCTGGCCAGCAAAAATCAGCCCCTCTTGATGATGAGCCTGAGCTGTTCTCATCCTAAGAGAGAGAGAGGCCTGTATTTATGTTTTTGAGAAATTCAGCAGGACCACTATATCCATGGGATCAGCACCTGTGGTTTCATTTATCCACTGGCTGCAAATATTAA